AAATAAGTTTCAAATATACATACTGTGTTTCTGATTTCCAGTATGCAGAGTTTCAACGTTTTACCTTGCTTGCAAATAAAATCAAATCTAAAAACATTTTTGGGGCATTGGTTTAGTTTGAGGATTGAATTGTTTTCATGGCATATTTACATTTTACCATTTTTCAGTCAAAAATGCTCATCTGCTGTGTATATACTGTAACCTGGGTTATTCTATCATCGCTAAAATTATAATTTATTATTAATAAATAATTTAAATACATATTTTTTGGAAGTTAATATGCAAGTTGATATAAGTCAACAACCAGGATATTTTGTTGAAGATGTGTTATCATTTCATTTGCCTTTTTTCTATGAATACAAAAATAATTCATTAAAAAAATACTATACAGATATAAAACAATCGACCTATCTTAAAACTTGATATAGTTGTGCTGGTAGCAACATACAAGTCAGACAAGGTCCAAATGGGAATGGAACTGCATCAAAAATTTGTCATAAGACAAACTGATCAATATAGAATTAGAAAGTTTGATTGCATATAGAAGTGTGTTTGAGCAGAGAGAGATCACAATGACACCCTACTGTATTTGGTCTTTTAATTACTGGCTATGTATGCTGGTTATCTAGTGTCTTGTTTTTGGCTCCTTTTCATTTAAACTAAAAACTTGTCTGAACTGGACTTGACCTAGAAGGCGTGAACCAGTGACTTGTTAAGCATGTAAATGGAAGGTAAATATCAGAGGCCAAGCCATCATTTCTCCACACTTCATAAAAACAAAACCCACACAGAAGATCAGAAAACCTCCAGTCCAATCGTGTTCACTTGATTACACCTTCCACAGCCAACAAAGCTCTAGAGCTCTTGATTAAACCTTAGATTAAGGAGATGTAGGCGTGGAAACAAAGGATTTCATTATCTATTCATTTCAAGCAGAAGCCTAATATTTACAGAATGCTTTCTGATATTGAAAAACATTTCAAGAATGCTGCATCTCAAACAGTTTTCTATTTCTATCTATTTCAATGTCACTGTATACTGTTATTTTTTCATAATTGATATGTAATTGCCGACCACAATGCCCTTGTGACGTTTCTAAATGCTGCCAGAGCTATCTACAGCCATTGCCAGGGACAACTGCAGAAACCTTCGGCATCAAGCAGGTGTGATACATGATCAAAGACATAAATGTTATCCCATAAGAAATTGGACATCTTTGCGGAAACTTTGAAACCAGAGCCATTTTGCCTTTCTTTACTGTGGTATTGCAATGGAATTCAACTGAGACCCAATCAATCAGACTTGTGTGTACATAAATTCAGTAATAAAACCCCCTTTTTTCTACAGTACCACTGGAATGTGCCTGCCCTTTCTTCCTTTGGAAACAAGTAGCCTTCTTAATTCAAAAACTTGAATTCTAGTTGAAAGATAGTTATAAAAAAATCAGCTCAAAATTTCACTTTGCCCTTACACTTTTGGGTGTCCTTACCATGGCCTGAGCAAATGATTAATAGTTTTTAAGCAGAAAAAATTTGTAAAATTAAAAAGCATAAATTACAGAGAGACTGTAGTAGGGCAATAAACCTGTCTCTTTCTGTATGCTCAACTGCCTGTATTAGGTCATAACTCACACAAAACATGTCCTGTGAAAACGTTCACTTGAATAAAAAATGGATCATTGTCTCCAATGTCTCCAATGAAATCATTATCACAAGGAACTCCTGCTCCATATCTGTTATACAGGTAGACATCATATCTTACCACAGCTTTTCAAACATGCTTCCTGAAAACTTAAAATAGGTTGTAAAAATGGAAATCATTTCTAAGCATTTTTAAACATCTTATCTTTAATTTGTTGCTTACATATGAATATACTGAATGTGATGTCGACATCATGAAATGTGCTATAAAGAGGGGTGTGAATGGGTAAAGACAAAATGGTCATTAAAATCAGAGAATCTTACATGAAATCATGTGCATTGAAGTGACTGAGTGGGACTAAAATCGCCTAAAATTAGAAAATTCCCTGTTGAACAGCATGTAGGGAAAAGTCAAATCCTCAGAAACCAGGGTACCATCTAATATACTACATGCCCTTGTATGCTCTGCAATATAATGCTTATGGATGGCCTTTATGTAAGGAGCAAACTGCATTGCAACTTTGAAGCATGAATAGGGAATTGCCCAAAACTGTATTATGCTAGAAGTTCATAAGATGAAGACTCATGCCTAAACATCTAATAATCTTTAATAATGTCATTATTCCTTATGGAAACAAACTGTAATGCAAAAGTCAAGTTGCTAGCATACTCACCCTAGTGATACTATCTTGCTGACAAATTGTGAATATATCATACTTAAGACATTATATTTCAACCCTTTGGGGTAAATAAGATTCAGATTGTGCTAAAATAACAATTTTTATCACATCAAATATGTTCTTGCAGACTAAAGATAATAACACTGATAAACAGGTGTTTGGACATCGTGTCAGCAGCAATGATATTATCCACATTTTGACAGTTTTGACTTATGGATGGGTATCATTGAAAAGTTACGAGTTAAAATGTCAAATTTCTTTTCTGGATTGCACCGTAAAGGTCTGCAGCCAACTTTTTCAAAGGCAGGTGGAACTTTTTCCCATATTGTAATAGAATCTACATCTATTCAGAGTGATCCTTTTCCAGAGCAAAAGGATGGTTCCTTCAGAGTTTTTAAAGATGTATTGGCCTATTCCAGGATATAAAACAACAATCTTAATCTAAAGGAATTAACGGCATGAAATTTTGCTATCTTGAAATTATTTTTTTCTCTTCAGTGTTGTTGCTACTTTAAACTGCACTTTCACATGTTGTGCTAAACCAATTTTACCCTAACTAAAAAGGCACTTAGTTTAACACCAAGAGAGCAAGGTAGTGAACTAATTCTGTGGGGAACCATCTGCCTCTTCTGCAAAAACCTTCCTCCAGTTACCAATTGTTCTCTTTAGAAATATATTTTAGTCTTGCCCTACATGGAAGCTCTTGTCTAATAGAAATATTTTCACAAACATCAACTCCAACAAATGGAATATTTTCAAAAAGATGCCCCGTGTCAAGTTAAAATCGTGTTGGAATGCTATCATCAGCAAAAACCTATTGCATGCTAAAGTTGGTCACAACAAATCTTTATTATTGCTCTTGTCTAACCTTACTTTGGATCCTCTGCAGTGAAAAAATTGCTTAGTCCTTGGATTAAAGATCCATTTTAAAAATGATTTGTAAGGAGTTTTTCAGCGTAATCTAAAAAATAAATTCACGACAATGAAAGGTTCGTTTCCAGTTTTGTGATCAATGACAGAAAAAAAATCCAGGTGTTACCCCTTCACTTTGCATTTTGACTTAACAAACACAAGGGTTGTTCATATGAATTTAGGGTGAAGAACAACATATGTATGGATCAGTGCTTTCATACAATATTGCCAGCATAGTGCGACACAACACGCTCCTGTGGGTGCAAAGCTGCTGAAGTCAATGGATCCATATGCTAAAGTGCAGGGTATAGAATCATGAACTTGTGACAGCCAGATCTGGGCTCACACAAGTACAAAAGTTCACCTCCTGTAGCTAGAAAGTCAATCTGCCCCAAAAAAAAAAAAAAAAAATCACATTCATCAAATTGTCATTTATTTAGTGACTGAAGGAAATGAGGTATTTGGCCAAAACATGAATACATGCAAGAGTGAACTTGTATGATTACTCCAACCTGACACTGCTTCCAGATTCAAGATTTTAGTAAGAAATCCTAACAATATGATGCTTAAATTTTTCACTTGAAAGCAAGAGATCACTAAGGCTAACAATGACCACACATTGCATCTAGATCAACTTCACTTTGGCATAAAGCTTACAATCTGAATATCTTATTTTGTGTAAGAGGCACTATTTAGAAAGTTCATTTGGAAAGCTGGAATGGAGGCATGTTCATAAATCTTATCAAAGCAATGCAGAGTAAGTGTGTAGATTTTATCTGTTGGCAACTGATTTAGTAAAAACTCTGAATAATTGGTCAATATGGACACAACCAAACTATTCATAGATTTCTTTCATTATCTTGAATAGCAATGTCTAAATAACAATAGTAATTTGTCATATTTAGACACATGGGAGACTCTTTACAAATTGTAAGGGGATATTGCTTTATTAGAATGTATGTTTTGGAACTGCAAAGGACTCATCCCTCAAAAATGAAAGAGATAAATAAACTTTGAAAAGAATTCTGAATATTATATTTGTTTGTAAATGCATATTTTATGAGTGGAAATTGATTCTAAATTCATGTTCACATCATTTAAGAAGAATAGAAGACCAGAAGCAATAAAATGTGTTAGGAGGCATTTTTCATTCAAGTTTAACAGTTGTATTGAAGAATATTAATGAAGACCAGAAGACAGAATACTTAAAAGATGTAAATATATTCTAACTACCATAAACATGATGCAAATTAGGCCAGAACTGTTGGTTGGTCTTCAACTTGTATGGTTTATCAGTTGGGAAACTGCCTGATATGATCCCAATGGTAAATTACCTGTGGGCAAACATTACAAAAATTTGAGGGTGCATAAAACATATAATGGCCAGACAGTACCTTGCAATTTGAATCCAATTATGTTGAGATGTGAATTTGATTTGTCAATGAGGTCAAAATGACAGACTTTTTAGTGTACACTTTTTGCTGTACACTGTACACAACTTGCATGCTTTAAAATGTCTCTTTTGCTCAGTGTTAGCACTGATAAATTTTGCAGAAGCGATATGATAAGTTATAAACACCAGAAAGAACGATTTATTCCAAGGTACCAACAGGGAGTTCCCTGATACCATGTCACAGGGGAGGATGTTAAGAATGTTAAATGTTACTTGGAAAGATATATAATGAAAATAAAGTAAATTGGTGACCTGTCTGTTCATTGTAAAGCTACTGCTTCTTCAATGAAGAAAGGTAGCCTGGAAAAGTCTTACCTTAATTGCCTGTTCTTTTTCATGTTGGGGGGAGTATTTGCTGCCATTTCTTTGGAGTTTAATCAGTTCTTGTTCAAGTTTCTTGCACTGAAAAAGTCATATATTTCTTTAGAAATATAAAATGCTACAATACATAGATTGAACACATTAAGATGGTATACTTCAAAAATAATTACTACTGCAATATACACCATTCTACATGGAGTGAAAAGCATTTTAGAAACTGGACACATTTCATATATGAACTTCCAAGATTATTACAACAACAATGAAAAGATACTACTATAACAGCAAATAATATGATTCTTTAAATATTAAAGTATTTTTCGTTTATTTTTATCATAATTAAACAAATTATTAAGTTGCAGTGTAAAACTTGTTAAGGTAATATAATGAACAAAATGTCTGTCCTACAAAAAATTTTTTGCTATTTTGCTTGAATCTTGGAAAACAATGGACAATATAATCAATTCTTACTATCGGAGTATAAAAATATGGTTTATCTACAAAATTTAACTAACTAAAGTGCATAAAGTGACTGGGAGAGAAACTTTCAAAATCTAAAATGGCTGCCACCTCCATCAAGCATTGGGTAATGGCAGACGCCAAGCTGGCGTCATTATTGAGGCCCTTAGGCATGTAAAAATAACAGCAACTGTTGTTACCTGCCAGTCACTAGAAAAAAGCCACAAAGAAAACCCATCATGTCAAAGGGAAATAGAAAAATGAGCCGGGTTTTTTCATACAATACAGTCCCCAATGTAGGTCAGGCCATTCTGGAGCACACACCAATATGCCTCTCTAGGAGGTAATTTCCAGTATTGCAATTTAACTACTCAATTTTGAAATGAAATTCTACTTACCACAGTAATTTGTGGAACAGGTCAGAAAAATTCCAGGATTCTGACAATCGATATTCTGACGGTTGGCAACAACATGTGCCTTGCATATCTAACTTGCTGAATCGATTTCTAGGCGACCTAATGTTCTTCGTGATTTAGATATAGAGCATTTATAGCTCCGGAAATGTAGTGTAAAATCTGATACAATATAAGTACATTTATTTTTTAGGGTTTTTTGTTTATTCCTAGCAAACATCCCCATATTATCTATCCTTTGATGAAGTTTGCGAGCAAACATCACTTTCTTGTATCCGCTTTATTTGTAGCCGTCGCTTTGCTGACTAATGCTATTGATACGTTTTGAAAACACTGAATTCCTCTTGCGCACAAAGGCGCAGTGTCTTTTCTTCTCAGCTAAATATTACAAAATTTGGAGGATCAAAAAGGTTATATTGACTTAGCTATGCAAATATGGACAAGATATAGCAAGTAGCGAGCTGTGAAATTGCCATGAAAAACCAAAGCGAGCAATTCTGGACAAAACTATTACTGGTGGGACATGATGGTATGGGGCCAGTAAATAAATCAATGTGGATGCAAATAAACTGGTCTCAAAAGAACAACAATATTCTCATGCAAGGAAAATTAAAGGTTAGAGACCTCCAGCAGTTTTAATTGGGATCAGCTGCTATGGAATACATATTTATTTGATCACGGTCCATTTTACAAGAAACTTCACAAACTGAACAGCCCTTCATCTGACTTGTCAATGTCAGACTGGCCTTTGATGTTTGTGAAATTTCAATTATAGACTTGAATTAGGTTTTTATGCTGTTCGGTGAATAAGGATCACTGCCTAGTTATGACAAAGTAGATTGTCAGTTCTCACCTAACGCGGGCTTGTATAGAAATGTAGGCACCAATGCTCACACTCGAATACCAAAGCAAATACGACGTGAATGATGATTACAAGTTTGGAAAAAAATTAGGACCACGTCTGGAGCCAGACAATCAAAATGTTTTGTAGCAGGAGAATCTTATGTCAAAAGTCAGCTAATTTCTGATCAGGAAAGTTTACTCTTTGACAGTTAACGCAATTGCCAGCAAACACTGTTGACATGTGCCAATCACATCACGTCAGAAGGGACGCAAGAGGAGGGTGTTGGCACTATGCAATAAAATTCTGATTTCCATTCCTGCAACATGCACCTGGCTAATTTTATTCATATGTACAATGAAGAAGAATATTTGAAAAAGAAGCAAAACCTATGTTTATAAGTTTATTAATTTATTTTTTAATTAGTGTAACTGATGAGTAACTTTTTAGTAAAAAAAAATTGCATATTTATCCTAATATTTCCAGTGTCAGCTTTGGGAATTTATTTCATTTTCAGTACCTTTTATCAAATATACGTAAGCAGGTTGCATGCTATGCTTAAAGATTTATACTGTTTGCAATTTGATTGCCAATTAGACAATGGGGATTTTGCTCTTAAAATCAGATCAATTTATATTCATAATTTTACTATGTATTCATTTGATCAATTGATGCGGCCCTAACCCACCAAATAATGTTCTTGTTTCATGTGTTAACAATGATATAGTTTAAAAACCACAATTTTATAATTTAGTACTACATTAATTTAACAACTTTAAAGGGTCATATTAAAATGTTTTTATTATGTTTTGTTTTGAAATCCCACTGAAACGTATTAAGGGCAGAAAAGAACCAAGATAACCCCTACCAAAAAAATTAAATATACCTGAAAGATAAAAGGTTTTTATAAATAAGAAACTGAAACAACCTGTAAAAATGTGTAAAAGACCTGCCACTTCAACTTATTACTCCCTCTGAAGCACAACAAACCTTTGCCAATAAAGCATCTCTCTCTTCCAGGATTGCCTTCATTTCTTCCATTGTGATTTCTTTTCTTCTTGCTTTTGTCCCACTGATTTTGTCTTTAATCAGATGTCCATGTTTTCCAATTTGTATTGGAGATTCAGCCTGGTTAAGTTTGGACAGCAAACTAGGAACATCCTGAAGATATCAAAGAATCTATGCATTTAATTTTATTGTTGCAATTTTTGACATGTTTATATTTACAGAAAAATTGCCTGAATATTGGGATTTATATTTTACAAAAACATATTTCAAACAACTCATTTAAATTATACAAAACTACTTAAAAGAGAAAAATAATCTTATATGAATAACTAATCTTTATTCTATGACTTATGACAAAGGTATTTATTACTTAAAATTAAAAAAGTATCAAAAAATTTCAAGACACTAAAAAATGACAGAAATTTTGATAAAAAATGTCTATATTATCATTACTGCAGCCATTCTTCTTAAAACAACTATGATGTTATCATTGCAGGTGCCAGTGATCTTACCACATCCTCTTCATCTGATTGTTCAGTCCCAGAGTCAACACTACAAACAAAGAAACCAGGTTGAGTAACTCTCTAGTCTGAGGGTCCAGTCATTTTACTGGACCTAACTGTTCTATACTGTTGACCACAATCTGTGATATGATTTCCATAATCTCTTTACATGCATACCAAACATACCTGACGTAAACTATATCTGGGTAAAAGTGCCAAAAACAAATATTTTCTATTAAATTGAATGACTTGACCATGAGGAATTTTTCACATAGCATAGAAATGAATATGTTTGCTATGGATTCTTAAGATATAATATAGTTTCTATTGAAATCAATTACGTTACCACTTGAATTGATCAAATGACAGAAAATAAAATGATTTTGATATCAATGCTGTGTAACTTACAGCATCAGTTTCCAAACTGCAAAATTTCATGAATCTTACAGTTTGTGTCTAATAAGCAAAAATAATTCAAATCAAAGAAACATGCACATGTTAGATACTATAATGTATTATGTTTTTTGTGAACTTTACTTCATTCAGTTAACTGTATTAACACACATATTCAGAATTGCAACACTTACAGTAACTTTAAGCTCAATGTGAATAAATCCAGGCCTTTTTATTACTTGTCTATACCATTTGACCAAGGACCACGATAATTTCAGGCTTATTATTACCACTGCCACAAAAGGTAGTTAATTTTTTTCATCAGTAGTTGGCTTATCTGTGTGTTGATATGGTAGTGGACAAGATATTTCTAAAATTTTTCACAATTTTCAATGAAATTTTCTGGATTATAAAGCAATGATCACATTTTCAACTGAACATGGACATAATATCTTAAAAGAATTTTTATTGCCTTCTTTCTTGGCAGGGGTTTTCACTCTTGGTGAACATTTAAATTACACATAAAAACCTGAAACTTTTTTTCTAACCTAGCCAAGCTTTGGTTCATTTGTTTCCATCTTTCTATGGCTTCATCACGCTCCTCATTGGCCAACCTCAGCCTCATCATTACTGATGCATCTCTCTCCTTTTGTGCCCTGTACAACTCTTCCACTAATGCTGAAATAAAATAGAAATTAAATTGAAAATTTCTGACTGTCCTCCTATTGTTTTCTTGTCTCGAAGAAAATATGTTCATCTTATGGTCAAACAAGAATCAGATTGTATACAAAGACATTCAGTAATTCAACAACTAAAAGATTTTGTACATGTCATTAAATGCAGGAAATTTGACAAGGAAAAAAACTAATTTATGCATCAATCAACTTTTAAATAATCAAGTACAATAAAATAAAAGGAAACATTACCTTTAAAAATTCAAGAGCATTTCCACATTGATTTGTGCAGTGTGCAAAATAGTCGAAGTAATTCAATGTTTGACTATTTTCAGAAATATATCATTATCTATTTACTTTCACCATAATTTAGCTAAAATTGCATTAGATTACTTGTTCTCAGTAATTATTTATTCAAATCAAAATTTATCTGTCACAACAAAGTATTTCAATTCCTCACCTGTTGCTCTTGCCCCCAAATCTGCTTCTGATTCTGTTGCCTTAGCTTTCATGGCAATTTTGATTGACTCAAGTTCTTTTTCTGTTTCTGACAGTTTGTCAGAAAGCTGCCAAATTAATAGCATTAATTATTTTCATCTGATACAACAATCTATCATGTTTTATCTAAATGTTTACAATTAATATCTCTGACATAAAGATAAAATAATTCATTCATATTTATATGCAATATATGCTTGTGTGCAATAAACCTTAAAACTATATCATTTCGCCATAATAATGTTTTTAAAAATACCTTCTTATTCAAGTCTTTAGCAGCATCTAATTCTGAGAGCAGGAGAGAAACCTGACGACTCTGATCCAAGTATCTACTCTTATCATCCACAGGCACTGAAATATAACTGCCATCACCAGCAACAGGACTATCTTGACCAACAGTGACATCATGTGGCAAACCAATCACGGTGTGGTTTTTGTGGGGTGATCTCTTCTTTGCGTTTCCCTCTGCATGTGGATCGCTGTGCCTTCGGACCCCCAAGTTACCAGCCACTGGTGGTGAACCCCCACTTACTGGGACACTCAGTGTAGCATCATGGCCAACATCCTGTGGCTGACGTTGTGATTGACCTGATTTCTGGGTTTGAGCTTCACCCTGTGGATGACCTTGACCCTGATGTTCACTTGCAATTTGACCTTCATGGCGCCCAGGTGTGGATTGAGCAGCAGGGGGAGAAAAGACACTAGAGTATGGGGGCTGCATGTGAGGGGATGGTGCATAAATCACTGGAGGGGGTGGTGCATATGGAAAAGGTGGATAGTATCCCATGGGTGGAAGAACAGGACCACCATAACCTCCCTGTGGCATGGATGAGAAGCCAGGAAAAGTCTGAGACATGTGCATATGACGAGCACTGTGGTGTTCATCTTCAGATGGGGTCTCAGTTCCACTCCACGATCTTCTGTGGTGCTTCTTGCTATGTCTTGATGAATCTACAAGTAGTGTATGAGCAGACTGAGATACATTCTATTATCATTATTAATACTGTAAGAGCATGTATTTATGTATTAGTTCTTTTCTGTGATTATATGATATAAAAATCACACCAGGATAAACATTTTATTATAGAAAATACATATGGAAGAAAATGCTCTGTTTGAAGGGCAATGTTTTAAAAACGTTTTTATTCTCTTTCACTTTCCTACATCAGTTGTAGGCCAGCTGGTATGAAAGACTGACAAATGTATGGGTGGCCAAAAGGGCAAAAATTCATGTCGTCGATTCAGTTATGTTTCGACGATTCACTGCCTTCCCATCGATTCAGTTCGATGGATGGCCTATCACATGACTATCAAAATGGCAGACAACAAAATGACTGATAGTGAAATAAGAAAATTTTCTCAACAATTTCAATTTTAATTGTTAATAATTAAAATCTACTGGTTGTAGGGACATTATTTTCTAGTTGTTTTCAACTCTGACCATGGCTGGCCAAGTTAAAAATTACTGCGTGATTGACAGACAGAAGCACGTGTTGCTACCGCAGCGCCCTCTGGCGATTGATTGATGAATGATGAAGTGACATTACAGGATCGACGAGAACAGTAAGACGATTGACGAGAATAGTTTGACGATCGACGAGAATAGTTACACGATCGACGAAAATAATGACAGCATTGGTTTTAATACACCGTGGACGAAAAATGTTTGACAATTGAATTGACGAAAATAGATGCTGAATTTATGATAGGGTCGTTTAAACTTGAAACTGAATCGATGGGAAGGCAGTGAATCGACAATACATAACTGAATCGACGACATGAATTTTTGCCCTTTTGGCCGCCCATACAAATGGTCACTTTTCAATTACAATAAAATGAGGAAACTGTGTTTTACCAGCATCAAAAGAAATACTAGTTTTAATGGACCAATTTTTCAAAGCTCATAGCAATTTAGAAATAATGTTAACTTTATGTTTTCAGATGGGCCCAGAATCTAAAACAAAGTAAGAATCCTGCTTTGGAATAAGAATTTTATACCTACCTTTCCCACTTTTTGGCCTCTTTTTAGTTTTACTGCGACCATGAGGCTTTCCTGGTGGGTCTGTTTCCGTACCTGAATCATTTTCTTTTGAGTTCCTGAAGAAATAATCATCAAATTATGTTATACAGCATCGGATGAGGTTACTTTGTCCATATTTACAGAAGTTCAGAACAATCACTCTGAATAATGTCTTTTATGTTGTCGAAATGTTCTAACTGGAATAAACTGGTTACTTAAGATCCTCCTAATCTTCATTATATTAAGTTGTAAAATAATCTAATGGTTTAATTTCAATCTAAGACGATACTATACATGTAGTAATGTTAGGTAAGTAAATTATATGTATTATATTCATTAAGCAAAAATGCCCCAAGTTGGCAAAACTGAAATTTCAAATCGAGGGAAACACATTTTTAACACCATAACTGTTGTAACTGCAATACATAAATAAAATTGATGACATACATTTGTCTAAGTTTCAATATCTTAAACAATGAAATATCACTTATATACAGCTACTATTGTTTTACCTTTAACAAAAGCAATGAATTACATAACAAGAGGCAGAGTATGACCAAGTCTTATTTTCTTGCATGTTATTGTTATTTAACATTTCTCACTGTAAGCTAATGTTGTATATCTTATTAACTACACTGCCATAATTGGATACATTTAAATGTTTGAACTGGCACATTTTTCTATAAAGCATTTGTCAATACTCAGTGCATTTATTATTATGTATACCTCTGTGCTTTTGTTTCTTCTTCCTTGACCCATTCATCTATGACTGGAGATTTTGTAGGGGAGCTTTTCCTTCTTGCTCTGGGCAGTCTCTCATGGAGCTCATCATTCACACTTTGGTCTGGGTACATGTTAACCAGCTGAGCCTCCAGTTTCTGTTCAGCTGCTCTCCTTAGTGCAGTCTCTTTACTAAGAAGTTCATCTCTATAACAGAATTACAAAAGAATACACTGTCTTATATTTGTAAGAAAACAACCAAAATTTAAGTAGGCAATTAGGAAGTGACTATCATAATATTGGTTGGCACAAATATTTCTGAAGTTGTGCAATTACCCTGAAAATCATTGAAATTATTGAGCAATATACTGCAGTTATTCAGTACGTCCCCAAACTTATACATGCAAGTCTAAGATTTTTTTCTGTTACTTTCTAATTTTAGTTATCCAGTTTTGTTACCCAACTTTTTTCAGTGATCACCCCGAAGTAGCCATAACTTTCATTATATTTGAATAAACTTGAATGTCTTGTAAAAACAAAATCATTAACGATAGAGTAAATTATTACCCAATTATAATAAGATAATCTATTTAAAAGGAAATAATCTGATCAAACTCGCCATTTAACAGCACGGAATGCATGCGTTAGCACTCCTATTGACAATTTTGATATCTACGCTTTGCCAGCTATAGAAATCATTATGTTAGGTATGAATTTCGTGCTAACCACTAAGGTGCACATCATAATGAATGAATGACCCGTAAATAAAAGACTTTTTTAAATGAAAGAGTTTGGCCCTACTTTGGAGACATACTAATTAGTACAGAATACTGCAGTATGACTTGTATAAATACAGAAGGAAAGAATCATTCCACTGAAGTGAATCACACGTGATTTCAACTGGACTCGAATAAAGTCAAAACTGACAAAAGAAGCATTTGTGTTAGAGTGCTTTATTTAACTATTTAACAGGCGATTTAGGATGCAATCTTACTTTTCGTCCACCGAATCTCGGAGTTTGCTGAATTTTGAGCGTGCTCCATCAATCGCAGACCGAAGTTTATATACCAAGGCTTGATCTTGGTCAGGTAATTTGGACAAATCATCAAAACTTCGGTCTAGGCGGCGGTGGTAGTTTTGATCTCCACCGGCCGCCATATTGAAATATTTGTAAACAACAGATGCTCTCTGGGATAGTTTCCGTCACAATCACGTTGTGTTAGTTGTGCTGTCTGACGAGATACGATGCGAAGATACGACAGCCGACCCTCGCCCTTTGGTGTTGGGTACAGGGTCCGCTAAAGGGTCCCGAAAATTTTGGTGCTTTGAAGGGCAAAAGTACCGTTTGGTTCGGCTTATAATTGTAAATCAGGGGCCAGTTTCACAAAGGACGTTTAGTAGCCTACTAACCAGTGTGTTATAAGCCCAACCAGTGTATAAATTCTCTTAACACCCCGTAAGTAAAAGAAATTGTGTTTCATAAACAGTGTTTAAACAGCCGGTTAGTTAACTGACTGGATAAAATATTTAAAGGTCAGTTTCATCAAAATCTTTGCCTAAAAGTTATGCTCTTGTTAAAAATATGCTCCACAGGACATTGGAGACACAATTCCATACGTCGCGCAAAATTGTCAAATGGCCTACTCGAACACGTTCCTCCTTGGGATTTCTCTAATTTTTACTGTGATTGCTGCCATCGGTTCACCTATCGTTTGAGGGTTGTTCTGGTACACATAATCCTGGAGATATCCCCACAGATAAAAATCTGTTAAAAATCATGGTTAAAACGTCCCCACAATGCAAGCGGTGGTCCTGAATATTGCCGGCGGTCGCGGTCAGCCCAACTTTGGGTCGCAAGCCTGCGTCTTAGGCTGTATTCCCATAGATTTTAGATCGATCTATCCCCGCGGGGAGTCTCACTAGATTACTTTCAGATAATCAGACTTAAATGTCCGTCCCGCCTACTACAAGCTGTAAGGGTGTAATTAACTTTCGTGCCCGCCCGGCTGATAGCTATTTAGCGTGAACCCCCAGGGAGTTAGGTCGATCTAAAGTAGGTCGATCTAATCTTTGGAAATGGGGTGTTAAGTTGTTTGAACTACACATTAATACTACACCACAGGGTGCGCTAGTAGCTTGTTGCAAAAATGATGAAAAGTGCAGTTTGTAGGCCTACAATATTTTTCTGGGGCCCTGATATCACAGGGTAGCGGCTATGGAGTTTGTCGGCGACTAGAGCGGTGCAGATTTTCCAACCTACCGACTTTCGGTACGTAGCCTACCCGAAATAACCGACGTGATGAAAAGTTTTAATGAATTACTGAACATACAGAGCATGCATACCGCCATGTTTTAGTTTTTATTACTTCCGAGATTTATTTGAAAAAATAGTCATTTATAATGCAACTAACTTTATCGAAATGATGAAAAAGGTATTTTAAAGTTACCTTGATAATCCTTTGGTGTTTATGATGAACTAGTGAATTGTTTTAACTTCACTTTAGGAAATACATTCTCATAAACTTGATCGCAAGGTCAGCATACTAAGCAAGTAGAAGTGTATTGTTGCAGTGTATCATTGGGTAGCACATCTGGGTCATTAGATCCTAACCAGATGGCAGTCCATTTAGTCCTGTATATATATCCAAATAGAAAGGGAAGGTGGGGTTTCCATTTGGGCTAGTCCATTCCGTTGAAAGGGGTCTCAGATGGGGCGAGACCATTCCTTTGGGGGGTGTCAGGTGGGGCAAGTCCATTCCATTGGAGGGGGGTCTGGTGGGGCAAATCCATTCCGTTGGAGGGGGTGTCAGGTGGGGCGAGTCTATTTCAGTGGAGGGGGTGATAGGTGGGGCGAGTCCATTCAGTTGGAGGGGGGGGTGATAGTTGGACAAGTCCATTCCATTGGAGGGGTGATAGGTGGGGCGAGTCCATTCGTTGGAGGGGTGTCAGGCGGGGCGAGTTCATTCCATTAGAAGGGGTGTCAGGTGTGGCAAGTCCATTCCGGTGGAGGGGTGTCAGGTTGGGCAAGTCAATTCTTTTAGAGGGGTGTCAGGTGGGGCAAGACCATTCCATTGAAGGGGTGATAGGTGGGGCGAGTCCATTCCATTTGAGGGGGGTCAGGCGGGGCGAGTTCATTCCATTGGAAGGGGTGTCAGGTGTGGCAAGTCCATTCCGGTGGTGGGGTGTAAGGGGGCAAATCAATTTTATTCAAAGGGTCTCGAATTTAGCTATAACACAAATAAAAATAAACATTAATTACTGCACATTAAGGAATTTGTGAAATTCGAAATTTTGTCACAAAAATTCACAGAGATATCAGACATATGATTCAAATATTTCTGATGTCAGATTGGTTCAGAAAACATGAACTGAAAAAAATTACTCCATGTTATACCCTTACAATATAAATTTTGGGCAAATTTTAATTGTTGCCATTAAAAAAGTGGTTTAGATTACATCAGCATCCCTCCACTCTTTCACTGAAAAGTATTCAAATGAAGAATAAGTCAGCAAAATCAAAACGTCAAAACAGCCTTGTAATTTATTAAGAAATAGAATAGGAAAATTATATCCCGGAGTACAAACGAACTAGTTCTATTTTGGTATAGATCAAAAGTTAAATGTGATTTTAAAAGAAGCAGGATTGTAAGTTTATACAAATTTAAGCTATAAATGATGGCTATTTGAAACTGTCTTAGATATTTTTTATTTTAGTGTGTAAAACAGCTTAAATTCTCGAATTCCGTTTTTTAGAAAATACTTGGCATTTTTGTCAAACGATTATAACTATTATAATTATACATATTACATGTATACATATATTCAGTATATTATATTTCATATACAATATATATGTCCAAATTAAAAAGGTGGAGCGAGTCCATTCCTAAGTAAGTGTCAAGTTGTGCAAGTCCATTCCATTCAAGGAATTAGGACGATATTTACAGATTTAGCTGATTGAATTTGAAAGTACTCAAACATTAATTAAGACGATATTTACAGATTTAGCTGATTGAATTTGAAAGTACTCAAACACGAAATAGTATTACTCATTTACCCTAATCATTGCTACTATTTTTATTATCATAGTTTCGTAACGAAATGAAAAAAATACGAATCACAAAAACATTTATTCAGTTTTCGTATAATAAATCCACGAATGAGCATGGAGTTCCTGGGTGTGAAACAAAGGCCACCGGTAGGTGGCTTCCAGGCGCAAGGCGCAGAATCTCGGTGAGCTTCTGAAAAAAAAAAAAAAAAAGAAAGAAAATAATGTTTACAACTTTAGACTCTTAACTTTAGGCCCTTTACATACGAATAATGCAAGATATATCACAGAGAAGAGAATACTTATAAAATGGCGTGAGTGTTTATTAACCTGTCTGATGTATAGCCTCAGCTAGAGCAAAAAAAAAAAAAAAATTAAACCAAGACTGCAGCACGATCTTGATTTAGTTAGTGATATAACTATTTGAAACTTCTTGCTAAAAAAGAAACTTTGACCCGTTTCATTTGCAGGGGGAATGTAATTCCTACGACCGTTAATATATTTCTCGCGATATTTAAAGTTATAACACTTATTGTAGTACCTTTCTAGTAATTTGGATGTGCAATCAAGTTTTAATATAATTTGTTCTGTAATGGATGGACAACATATGGCAAACTAGAGACGACAGACATTCTGTGAATAATATGTTTATATCTGTTTAATCATTGTGTAATGAGCACTCGGAATGCGCATGTGCGTGTGTTAATTGTAGTATATAAAGATCTTTGAGAATTTGCCAATTTTAAGCAGAAACAGATTGCCCAAGTCTCATTTGAGATGAATATAAGAACTATCATAGCTACGATGGTATGTTACCGTATGCTTGTACAATAATAAAAACAATGATTATAATTTATTTCTCAAAAAAGGTTTAAGCGCGGCTAAAATATTATATGTAAAAACTTAAATGATAAAATTTTACAAATACTGACTTTTTAAAGTAAAAAATAAATCAATAAAAAAATGAAACCTAAAAGACAAAATTTACCATAAGATCACATAAGATCGCAATAGTCAGCAAAAGAGACGTTTGTTTTGTTGATAGAATTTGACGATGGAATTAATATACACGTCAACGGAACGCACTTATCCTTGGATAAGAAGCTTAGTAATGGTGATACTTACAGACGGACGTGCAATTGCTTCTACTCTTTATACTGGTAAAAGCTGGATCTTGAGACTGCACCACGCATATGCCAGTACTTTTGCGTCTGCACCCCACCGTGTCCAACTGCCAAGTGAGCATGCAGGAAAACAGTTCGCACAACGACGAGCAAACTTATTTTTATGCAAATTACAAAAGGTATGGCTCATTTTAGGTGAGAGGTTGTTACTGCAGTGAGGGTCCCATTGGGTATTTTCGTTACCCGTGAAAGCCCCTTTTTATTTCCCTAGCAGCGTGAAACGTTCATTTTATTCAGCGCGATTCGTGAAGGACCCCAATTCCCATGAATCGTGAACGCGGCCTGTTTTTTGAAATCGGGTCATAATATTCATTTGGGAAAAATTATCAGTAAAAATTAATTTCTGACGAATAAAAATGTCACTTACTTTAACTTTGGGGTCTCAAAAATATCATTTATAATACGATGAAATATCTCTCTGTACAACTTCATTCTTTTCGTTCACCCGGTATGTATGTGTGGTTTATTCGATTACAATATGAACTATTTAAATGTGTAAAAATCGTTCCCAGACTCGCATATTCCTATGCCGTTGGACCGGACTTCCCCTCCTTACTATCCGAATTTTGCCAAATGGTCATGGAGATTCTGCAGGAGTATTGGGGAAGATTTTTGTGAGATATTTCTATTTCTCTTTTGAGATTTTTTTTACATTTCTATTTTATCTTGTTTTATCTTACAATTGTATGTTTTGTAAGAATCGCGCTATACGACAAAATGTGTCCCTTTTATCAAATATTGACAAGAATCATATACTGACAGTTGCTTCAATTTATATCTTAGCGACGCAGTTCCTCTTCTGATGGTGAAAAAAATTGCCACGTGCGTCTGTATGGCTATTGGTCATTTACATCAACAGGGCATAACCCATTTTGATATCAAAACGAACAACGTGTTGATCAGTCTTCGCGGGATCCCCAAACTAG